GTTGTGGCTTTCTTTGGTGAGTGGAGGAAAAGCTTGGGGTCAAGACACAGCTACAGAATCAACCAGAGAGTTCTGAACGCCATCCCCCAAGCATCCAACAAGCGAGAGTGAGAGAGACAGAGAGCGAGACAAGAGAGCGGGGGTCATGGCATGCCTTGAAGGTGGCATGTCTGGAACAATCGCCTATCCCTTGACCGTAAAGTGGAAATCGTTGGTGTTAGCGAGTTTCACCCGCAGCCGGCCTCTTGACCTTTCGATTCTAGGTTTTGCGATGTCGTGCATGACTCGACGCATTCAAGTCTCGGAGGTTCCCAGGTCTCTTGGCAACTGAGTTGATGGAATCCTGGGGAAGTTTCCGAGAGCATGGGCACAAGCTGCTTGGGGTCCCGTTGCGTGGCCAAACCCCAAACACAGAGGAGCGAGTGTGGTTTAGTATTGGCCTGATGGAAGGTAACATGTTGGGCGAGCCCCCTTCGTACTTCAGACAGGATTGGTGGCATAAACTTGTTAGGTTTCTTTTTGCCGCGTTCGGCCTGGCAGAAGATGCACAGTTGGGTTTGTGTAAGGTGAGGAAGCCAAGCGCAAGAAGAAGGCAGCTCAAGCCGATGCTTGGCGGAGAGTTTGCGCCAGCCTGGTCAGAACAAGCAGAAGGTTTGAATTTGCATAGTTTTATGCGCACTCTATATGTATGTGTGTAAGAATGGCTCCTTGCTGAAAGACTGGCGTTTGGATACACCGCCAAGCCCTTGGAACAAAGGTTTGAAGGCACTTTGCATTGCGACAGCGCGTAGTTGGGTGCTGGGACTATTCGAGCGAATGGCTAGGCTTGGGGGGGATGGAGGAGGGACGAGCGCGCTAAGCTACTGCAAGCAAAGGTCTCATGAAATGTCATCCCTTGCTAGGCCAAAACGGATGGCAGCTCCTCTGGTGTTGGTTGCACGTTAAGATCCATCTGACTTTTCTAAATCCAATTTTTCGACTGTTCTAACAGCACCCAGTCAAACCCCTACCGTTTTTGCCTCTCAGTACGGGAGCCCCCTTCCTAGAAGTGGCTGCACGTCAGAAGGGGCTAGCGTGCTATGCGTGCTCAACAAAGCACTGAGAGGAAAAGAGGGCTTTACTTCTGGGAGTTCTTCCCTGCAGCCCAAGGAGAATGATGAAGAAGAGGAGGAGAAGGCTGGCAAGATGTCAAGAAAGCTGCTATAGCCCAGGCTTTGCAGGCTCACTTGTCGCAGTTTGGAAGCCTTTAAAGGTCGAAGGACAAGCTTGACTGGAGCTCGTTGTTATTCTTGCCGGGAGTTCAACAAGAACGGACTCTTCTTGCAAGCTTTTGTTAGCGACAGCTTGCAGACAGTGTGCTTCGCACACCGGTAGACTGGTCAACACGAGGAAGTTGCGAAGCAAGACCTTGGCAACGGAGGAACATCGACAGCACACTTTGCAGGGTTCAAGGAATTAAGGCAACACTTAGAAAGGTCTGTGCGCTGTCAGGGGTCCCTTTCTTGTTGAATCGAAGGGTTCACGATGGTCCCAGTCACAGGGCAAGCCCAATATCTTGCCCGTCCCTTGGGGGCCGTGCCGAACTCGGTTTGCTCGACAAGGGCCAGAGCAGTCACAGCGCAAGCGGAAGAAATGCCGCATGCCACTTGGACCCAGGGATTTTCAAATGGCGCCGGTTCCTTGCACTGGGTTTCAATCAGTTATGGTTTAGCGTCCTGCAAGCAAACACGTGGGGAAGGAATGTGCACAATTTATCACCAGCCGGGGTAAACCGAGCGAGAACACATGGAGGTTCCGAGGTGATTCCTGCCATTCCAGTGAAGTCCAGAAGGTTCCCCAAGAGCTGTTGGGGAGATCCGCCTTCGGCTGAATTACAGAGACGTTGGGATACACCATTGGGCCGTGGGGGGGCAACCGTGGGTGATCACATTTGTTTTCAAGTTCACCGTCAACCCAGATGTCATAATTCTTCTCATTTGGGTGAAGAGGATGACCAAGCCATGAATGAATTGTGGCATCTACTCTTTGGTGCATTTTGCCAAGGGAGGTTAGGACTTCAACCTTTTGCCAACTAATGGGTTTTCCGTCTTGAGCCACTAAAAGTTTTTTAGAGTCGCCACATGGATTTCTGCACAATGGTTCCGACAGGCGCCTCCGGAGCCCAAGGCGCGATGGGATTGCAACCGTTGCAACCTGTTTCCTTCTTCCGGCGATGTCCAGTTGGGCGATTTTTGTCCGGAGACCACAATGAAAGACTAGGTTGTTTAAGTAGTCTTTTCGTTTACCGTTTCTTTTTTGAGGGAGGGTGCCCCTACTTAAAATAGACTACAGAAAAAAAGGGGTACCGGGTACCTTTATTGTAACCTCTCTACTGGAGGACCTAGAAGATGAACTTCAAGTTGGGGTCCTGCCCGTTTTTCTTCCAAGAGCAGTCGGCTTCTTATCAAGATTTTCGAGGTGCCTGATGGTGTCCGTGCATCTTTCGCATGGGTTCCCGACTGCCCTCTTGGGTGCCCCTATTTCAATACTTGCCTTGGACGTCGGCCCTTTCCTATCCCCTGTTTGCTGGTTGGTTGGGCACACTCCAAGTCAGTTGTACCAAACCAAAAATCCAGGGAGGTGTCATCCGCAGGCCTTTTTTGGCCACTGTAAAAACACCAATGTGAAGCCCAACGCTGTGAACTGTTCAATTCGACACATGGGTGTCAAAAAATAGGTACCCAACATGGAACCTAGGTAAAAGGAAGGGACTAAAATCTGCGTTCCCTGCTGGCTTGACCCATACCCACATTTCTCCGACTGAGCAGGGTTCAAAACCTAGTCGTGCTGTGATTAAGGGAGGAGCATAAGGGCGCCCTGCGTAAGGAAAGCACGTGCCGGCGTAAGGCCGCGTAAGCTGTTTTTCGAGACAAGTTGGTCGCGTAAGCGGTGTGAATTGTTTTGGTGGCTTGACTACATTTGGCAGTGGCAGGGGCTCAGACAACCTAGCCTAAACTGAACTAGTGTGTGCTGCTGGTGCGTTTTGAGGATTAGCTGGCTATATCAAAACCCTGCTGGGGAGTGGAAAACGCAAAAAACCAATTAGTGCGCGCCGCGCCGCTAATTCGTTTTTTTTTTGGGGGGGTTTGGGCCCCTGGAATGTCTTGGTAGGGGCTCAAACACCCGTTTTTTGTCACCAATGCCTTTTGAGGCTAGTTAGCTGGCAAAACCTGTCTGGGGAGTGGAAAAAATGCAAAGACAAATTAGTGCGTGTGTGTGTGTGTGTGTGCGTGTGTGTGTGTGTGTGTGTGTGTGGGAAAGTGGGCTTAAGGAAGCCATCCAGTTTCGTAAGTGAGCCGCGCGCAGGTTTGGGAAATTCGTCTAGATGTAGGCGCGTGCAAGAACCTGTATTGTGCGTAAGCTCGCGCAAACACCTTGGCGTAAGAGTTCCTTACAGCCCAGATTTGAGCAAGAGCTTTTGAACGCCGCTCAACTGTAGCTTGTTGCTTTCCTGTGCACTTGGCTTTTGGCACGGCAAGGATCAGCTTTGAGCAGGCTTCGCAACGCGTAATTCGCATGGCACGGAGACTGGCCATCAGTACAGCAAGTCATTGTGTTTGCACCCAAACAGCTTGAGAATGTTGCGTTGTCCATCACTGTTCTTGGCAAGTTTCTTGTTGGTTCTGTTCATTTGTTGTAGGGGGCTGCAAAAACCAAGGTTATTTTGCAGCCATACCAGGGGTTGAGAAGTTTCTTTGTTTTGGATTTGTTGTGATTATGAGATGACTGCAGGAAACGGTTGATACGATCGAAGCACAGCGCGTGCATTCAGCCTTAGGACTTCCGTGCCATTCCGGTGATGTTGCACCATGATAGGTACTTGCGTCATGAACAGACCGGACCTGATCTTGCGTGGGTTTTATTTTTGCAAATCTTTGCATAGTTGGCACGTGCCACACGAGAAGGTTGTGCCGGGCAGAATACGCGTGCCGCAGCACAGGCCACTGTCTCAGCTGAAGTGGGAAGGGGCTTGTCGTATCAAATCGCCAACTCCTGCGTTTAGCCGTTGGCAACCTGAACCTGATTGCCAACAGCACGGTGGAATGCGGGCAGAATGGCCTTGTGCAGTGCATGCAATGTCCTTTCAGCAACCTCGGGAAGCTCTTGCAGGGATGGATTGAATCGCTATGTGAGACCTGATCTTGAATTGCGAGCTTGGGAACGGAAGCGCTTGCCCATCGGATGTGTGTTTTGCGTGCGTGTGTGCATGTCCATGCTCAGTGCTCACCCGGGTGTTCTCAGGTTTTGGCGTTGTTTTTTCATGATGATCGGTCCTTTGGCGGTGTCCTCAATCACTTTTGCGGTATAATCATGGTTTGTGTTGTTTTTTTTACATGTGACATAGGCCTTGGTTCCCAGGGCTGCGTTTGTCTGACGCCTGCATATCTCAAGACAGCAGTTGCCCAATGCGCTAGCGCCTTTGCCACCGGCAAGTCAAACGGAGGCTGTTCACCTCCTTGCATCGTTTCCCAGAGATCAAAGCCAAGACCAAGCACTGAAAGCAAACTGCCTGCCCAAAACTATGTCTTCACAATACACGCTTCACAAAGGTGAAGGGAGAAATTGCTGGGTGTTCTAACTGGTGGTTTGCATTGGTTGGAACTGGATTTGGATTTGAACATGGATGTCCTTCTAAGGACTCCCATATACCGACCAGTTGGTGACTGATGGCGCTGGATGTTGTGTTGCCGTGATTCATTATTCGGGGGAATGCATATCAATTGAATATCTGCCCCCGAAACCTGCGCAGATGACAAGTCCCATGCAAGTAGTTCATGACATGCAGCTGCCAATGCGGCTCAGAGCGTTTGACGCCTGCGGTCATGCCATTGATACAACGCTCCATCCAGGAAAGGCAAGGAGGCGTTGTTGCCATTCCTGCTTGCAAAGAGTGCCTGTGCCATGTCTTATCTAATTTGCATCCTAGTTTGTGGATCTGAACCTCGCCGTACTTGCTGGTCATGATGTCGCTATGGGGGCTTACCTTGCTGGGCCTAGCGGTGGCTCAGTCAGAGACAGGTGCGCTACTTGGCTGAGCTCTTTTGCAACTCGAGGTGGTACTTGGAAGCCCGTCACTGTGAGTTCCTGCTGCGTTCGCTGTCCATTTGAGGAGTGGATGGGGCGGTGATTAGGTGAGTGTTGCATGACACGGACATTAAAAGGGCAATGGATGATTGTTTCTCATGTTTTCTCGACCCTTGCTTGGTCACTGTAAAGTGCACAAGCCTTGAACTCACTCGAAGCGGTGAAGCTATTCCAGCGTTACTGTGAGCCACCAGCGGTACTTTGAAGCTTTCACCTTGGGAGGCTTATGTTGGAAAGACTAGAAGAGATGATGAGCAGGCCTCACATTGCGTCGCTTTATCACCGCAACCCTTGTGGCTGTACGAGGAAAGCTGTCGTTACTGTAACTTGTGGGGCCACAAGATGGAGCAATTTTCCCGTGTGGATTTGGATCATTGTAGCTGCTGCTTCCGGAATCCCATCATCAACTGTCGTGCGCCAGGGTACAAGCCAAACTTCACTTGATTTGAAGCATTCGGCTACAAGGACCGACTTGGGCTCTGAGCTTGCTGGCCCAGGCCGATGCAGAAGGATAGCCAGCTGATGAAGCAGGTTGCGCAGATTCGCAGCTTCCTCAACGATCAAGTTTTGCCAGCGTTGGAGGCAGGCTCCGTGATACATGTTGCATAACAGAAGCTTGGTTCCAATTTGTTTGAGCATGACTGAGGCTTTGTGCTGTTGGGTGTTGAAGTCGAACCGCCCTCAAAGTCTATATAGTGTCGTTGAGATCTTTACACTGCCCACGTGACCCGGTGTGCGTTTTTTGAGGGCCGCTTGTAGCGTCCAGGTCTTGGACCAGAGGACACAGGAGGATCGCGCGGCGATCCCTGGATTGCAAATCCGTTCAGAGGTCTCGAGGCGGTCTTCCCACAACTTGCATCCTGTTTGCACACCATGGCGTGTCCAAGCATGGATCCCCCTTCTGCTCGAGCCCCATGCGCTCAGCAGCTTATTGGTCAAGCAAGAGAAGCCATGCGAACAGAGGACGGCACGGTTTTACCATGTACAACCATCGTAAAACCAATTGATACCGTGCATGGACAAAACCAGGGGAAACCATTAGTTGGTTGGTATTTGCAGTGGAATCAAACCATTCCAGGGTTTCCTAGGTGATGGAAAATGGATTTCGTCCATCCACAGTATGTCTTGATTGCAAGAAGAATGCTGAAGGCAAGCCGTGCGTTTCAGGACGCCCTCCCACATTCCACAGCAATTTGCCCAAGATCCATGTTTGGTCAGATCCTTACCCAAGATCTTTTGGAAACTGCGTGGTTTTCCACCGTCCAAAGATTAGTCACAAAAGACCCCTGAGACAACGATTCCTCCATGGGTCGCCTTTGGCTCCATGTTTTCGCCGTGGAATTTGTTTGGTTCCCTTCAAACACCCAGTGGTTTCCTACTTGGTGGTAGCTTGTAGCTGGGATCCAGAGAAGGAGATTCGTAGGCGCCAGCTCAGGATTCAGCAGTTCGCGGAACTCAAGGAGATGCAGCTGCAGAAGTTGCAGCAACAGGCCTCCCATTTCCCAAAGACGGTCAGTTGTGCCGCAGCGCCTGTTTTCGCATTTGTGCAATGTAAGAAAAGGTCACCAAGTTTCAGAGGGGTTGCTCTACCATCGCTAGGCAACTGGGGCACGGCTTGAGGGGGCCAAGACTGGGCACCGGGCGAGCGACTGGGCACTGCGTGGGTCGCAGGTGGCTGAGCTCGCCCGCAGTGAGGCGGTGCTGCCCCGGGAAGACGCCGCCCTGGCAGGTGGGGAGGGGGGCTCCGGACCCAAATGCCGCCACCATTGGGGTGTGGGTCAAAATTCAACCACCAGGGGACCGCAGGTTTTGGTCCATGTTGCCACTTACTAGGGTTCCATTTGGGGGTTACCCTATTTTCGACCCACAGCCATTTGCTAAATGGGGGTGATCCAAGAAGTGGCCAGGCATCTCAACAGAATTTGTATTGCAGACCTTTGTCTCTTGAAAGGGGGTGGTTCCAGAGGGGGTCAGGAGTTCGGGGGACTGTACGGTCCCGTGAAGCTGCCAGTGGGTCACCGGTGCATGCCTCTAGCTCATGCCCAGGCTGGTTGCTCGGCTGTCATATAGCCTATGCGAGGTTGCCTTTGGGGGGAGCTGACAATTGCCCAACGGCCCCAGACTTTGAACATGATACCCAGGCCCCCATCCTTAGAGGCACCCAGAGTGCAGCCGGAGGCACAGGGCCCCAAAGAAAGCGCATTGAAGTGTCCAGTTCGGAAGCTTTCAGTCCTGTCGGCACTGGATAGGGCAGGTGTCCAGTTCCCGCTTTGTTTTGGGGAGGGTGGTGTGCCTTTTTCCAACAAGCGAGATGTGTCAGCTTCCAAGCCCAAACGACTATCAAATGAATGGTCAACTTGTGCAGCCAGCCGAGGGGGTCCGGAGTGATTGTTGGATTTGTTGTCAAACGTCATTGTTGAATTTAAATGGGGTGCTTTTTTTGATGGTTCCCGGCCACCCTTGGGTTTCCAGCTTTTTAGGGTTTAGTGGTACTTCCCATTTAGCCCACCAAAAGTTAGTCATTCGAGCACCCCTGTGCCTTCCCTCGAAGGCGAGGTCAACGCAGCGCTCGCGAAGCTTGGAAAGCTGCATGACTCGCTCCAGGCGAGTCCTATGGGAGTTGCCGAAAGATGCCGCTAGTTTTGTTCCCACCTCCTTTGTCCCCCCAGAGGCTCAATGGTGCTGTTTGTGGGAGGGGGTTCCATTGAACATCAACTGCCAACCACACATGGCGCTGGTTTTGTGAGGGAGTACAATTGAACATCTGCCAAAGAAAGAGTACCCTCTTTCACAAGTCAACTGTGTGCTCCGGTCCTGTTTGGACTACCTGTTCGTGTAGCTCCCCTTTTAGTCCAGATGGTCCAGCTTCCGGCCTTTGAGCTCCCATGGCCGCTTGGGAGTGGATGTCAAGAGTTGACCTTTTGTCCTTCAAGTTGATCAAGGTAAGGATCATGCTGTTGTTGGTTTCCCCACATCATTGTGTGGGGGGCAGTATTTTGGACATGTGACTGCAGATTCCACGGCAGGCGCAGCACTTTGGAAGTGCTAGATTTCGTGGCAGGGGCAGCAATTGAACAGGCTCTAAGAGAACTGGATGATGCCGCGCGCGCGCTCGTGTTGGCCCCCTGGTTTCCAGGGGCAGCATTTTCTTTGGTGCATTTTGCTTGGCTGTTAGGACTTTGACTTTTTGCCAACTAATGGGTTTTCCACTAAACCACTAAAAGTTAAACTTTTAGCAGGGAGCAAAAAGCAACCGAGGTTTGGACATGTGACCGCAGATTTCTCGTGGCAGGCGCAGCACTTTGGACATGTGAGTGCTGGATTTCGTGGCAGGGGCTGTATTTTGGACATGTGACTGCAGATTTCGTGGCAGGCGCACCACATGGGACATGTGAGTGCTGGAAGTCGTGGCAGGGGCAGCGTTTGAGACTCCACTCCACTCCACTCCACTCCACTCCACTCCACTCCACTCACTCTCACTCACTCACTCAGTCACTCACTCACCCATCCACTTCACACTCACTCACTCACTCACTCACTCACTCACTCACTCACTCACTCACTCACTCACTCACTCACTCACTCACTCACTCACTCACTCACTCACTCACTCACTCACTCACTCACTCACTCACTCACTCACTCACTCACTCACTCACTCACTCACTCACTCTCACTCTCACTCTCACTCACTCACTCACTCACTCATCACTCACTCACTCACTCTCACTCACTCACTCACTCACTCACCTCACCTCACTCACCTCACTCACCTCACTCACCTCACTCACCTCACCACCTCACTCACTCTCACTCACCTCACTCACCTCACTCACCTCACTCACCTCACTCACCTCACTCACCTCACTCACCTCACTCACCTCACTCACCTCACTCACCTCACTCACCTCACTCACCTCACTCACCTCACTCACCTCACTCACCTCACTCACCTCACTCACCTCACTCACCTCACTCACCTCACTCACCTCACTCACCTCACTCACCTCACTCACCTCACTCAATTCACCTCACTCACTTCACTCACCTCACTCACCTCACTCACCTCACTCACCTCACTCACCTCACTCACCTCACCTCACCTCACTCACTCCACTCACTCCACTCACTCCACTCACTCCACTCACTCCACTCACTCCACTCACTCCACTCACTCCACTCGCTCCACTCGCTCCACTACTCCACGCACTCCACTCACTCCACTCACTCCACTCACTCCACTCACTCCACTCGCTCCACTCACTCACTCACTCACTCACTCACTCTCACTCTCACTCACTCACTCTCACTCACTCACCCACCCACCCACCCACCCACCCACCCACCCACCCACCCACTCACCTTACTCGCTCACTCGCTCGCTCACTCACTCACTCACTCACTCACCCACTCACCCACTTTCTTCACTCAGTCAGTCACCTGCAGCGAAGCGACAGCAGCTCAGTGCCCAACAAATGCTCCTCGCGGCTTGCAAAGGTTTTCATGTGTTTATCGCATGGCCACCAGAGCACCATTCGCTGAACAAATGCGCATGTGGGGCCATCGGTTCTAGAATTTTGCGTTCAATAATAGAAGCTGAGCTCACCTGTTGAAACCTGCAACAGACAAGATGAGCAGAGCAAGTGACCCCATGCATTGAGATCCGATGTGGTGGAGCATGTCGACGCAAAACATCCATGCATCATCTCAGCATCATAAACATGACCACAGACGCCCCCCGCTTCTTGCACGGCAATCCAATGTCTTCCATAAAGAACAGACGTTTGGACGTCACAAATCGCTGCTTCACACCACAAGGGTTTCCAGCTTGGCCACGGGCCAAACGCAGCGCTATAAGGAGCAGCGGCAAGAGCAGAACCTGTTGAGCGACCGCTTGGCGGAGTTGCAGCGCAACAGATCCGGCGCCCCGGGGATCAGTATGCCGTGGAGTTCTTTTGTTTGAGGAAGGCTTCGGCTTTTTTGGCCTGGCTTCTTGAAAGTCAATCCTTCATGCTGCTAGATGGCAGTGGGTTTCCCTTGCGGTGTCCTATGAGCAGATTAGGATTAGGGGGCCTTCGCGTGTTCACACGTGTCACTCATGAGACTTGCAAGCGGATTGCCCGGAGCTTGGCGGGGCCAAGGTGTCCAGCGGCTGAGCCAATTGGAGGCACACGTCAAGGAGATGGACCTCCTGGCCGTGAAGTACGGCCACCCGCCTTGAGCTTGCGAATCGCCACACCCCTTGGAATCGGGGGGTGTTGTTTGGTGGTTTGGGGGCTAGGGGCACCTTCTCCAAACAAATCCAAACCACCAAGCAAAGAGAAGGTGAATAGATTGGATTTGTGCTTTTCAGTTGGGGGCGATATTCAAAGGGGACATGTACGGCAGTTTACGGAGTGTGCATCGCCTTTTTTATTTGGGGGCCTGTTTTAAATGGGGGTTTTGTGGGATCAAATGCGACCCTTAATTCCTAGAGCCAACTACTTCTGCCAGATGTGTGTGTGTGTGTGTTTTTTGAGGGTACTGTACCCTTTTTTAGGTTGGCTAAAGCTGCCATTCCGGAGAGCCGGTGTTGGCACAAAGCCAGATTCTGGTCGCAGCTTCCTTTGTTGCATGGGTGTCCCCACCAAAAAAATGGATTAGGATGTTCGGGATCTCCTTCATTTTGAATCAACCAAGTTAGGCCATTTGAGCAAGCCGCAGTTGCGCTGAGACGCCAAGGGTCATTTTCTCGGGTTGCTTCCTGTTGTCCATTTTGTGGATAGAAGCTCACTGTCAAATCAGCTGCCAAACAAAAAGCGCCCTGCTTTTCCAATGACCCCTGCAGTCGTGGATGTTGACTGCTCGCCTTATTTGAGCAGAAACCCTGTTGGACCATGTAGAACGGTTCTAGATACTGGCTTGTAGCATTTGGGCCCATCAAAAAAAACATGTTGGGCCAAACTGACTTTGGAGCTGGACGTCCATTTTTACAAGCGTTGAGAGTGATTTTGGGCAGGCGGCCCTTTCTCTGACCCAACTTTTGACTCGAGGCAAGGAGGTGGACGGACGCCTGAACGCCACGGAAGGGATTGCCGCTTGGGTGCTTGATCGACGGGTCAGCTGGCGCGGGGTGCTACGGTGTTAACTGAGGATTTATCCGGAGGACACTTCTAGTCAGAGGAACGACCCCCTAAATAGATAATTTCCCTCCCAAACGTTCCGTTCGCGTCACCAATCCGAAGTTAGCTCGACCGACGTTGCCACGTAACCCACCAGAAGGTGCCCCAGTCAGTTTCCAGCACACCCACCAAGGTTCCTTAGTGATACATGAGCTCAGGTTGATGAGTTTCCGTAACCCGTGTCCAAGGAAGCCTCACGCATCTTGTGTTTCCACACTGCGGGCATGTGCGCACATTGCCAGTAGGCTTTTGTATCTTTTGTGCTTACTTTGTGATGCCAGCGCCAGTTCAGCGTTGTGATCCCATGGTCCAAACGGATTCGCACACCTGGCGGCTGTTTGGAGCTGACGGTTGGTGACTTGGAGGCCCCTCCCCCCGGTCTTGATCCTTTTGTTCGGCCAATGAGTTTCTTATTCATGCCCCAAAGAGTCTAGCCTTTTGGAACAATGACCTAGTTCTTTTGCTTCACATGGGTCAGAGCGTGCGGCACCTCTCCATGCAGAAATCGCTTTCAGTGCTTCTGAGGGATGTCAGAAAGGAAATACTACGGTCGATCGGTATGTTAAGACACCGCGTCTTTTGACCAGGGTCTGGACTATTTCTTAACTTAATCGGGGTCCAGCCCCAAAACAGCTGTCAGAAGACATCGATGTTGCATGTGTTTACCATTTTTGTCAGCTGTTTTGCGTGTTCAAACGCTGAAGCGAAAGCTTCGAGTTCTGGTAGCCCGTCTTGGAATAAAAGACGTCGAGGTCGCGGCATCCACCCCCATACTATGAAGCACCTCGGGGTCCTTTTGTGGTGCTCCTCGCTGGTCCACATCGTGGTGCCCCCCACATCTCGTGTGTGTGTGTGTGTCCAGGTATAGTAATTGCACGGGTGGTGAGCCTGTTTCAGTGGGGGGGAAGTATTGTTTGTTTTTTGGAGGCGTTTGAGGGTCTCAAATAAATTATTTATGGCTCATTCGAGGGTCCGATTTCTTGCTTCATAGAATCTGTTAACACAGTGACGGGCCGTAATGCTTCGTTGTTCTCATCGAAAGCTTGGGGGCAACCAATGAGCGTTTTGACAACTAGCGCGACAGGGCGCCAGCAGTGAGGGTTCGAGCCCGCAGGCCAAGCGCCGAGTGATGGCCACCAAGGACAGCCATGTTTGATGGCCTTTTCGGCATGAGAGGCTTTGGTGGAATTTGCTTCGGGAGAAGCCTCACCAGGCTCTTGACAATGTGCAGATTTACATGCGGTTAGGACACATGGTAAGGGTCAAGAGTCATACGATGATTTTCCTGGAAGTTCAATATGCGTCAAAATCAGGGGACCCTAAAATGGCGGTTTGCTTTTTGTCTTAGCCTCAAACAACGGACCACCCCAGAAAAATGGACACATCCCCATGTGCGTTTTTGGCCAGGAGCTCATGGACATGCTGGCGCACACCAACGAAAGGCTAGATGCACTGGCTCGCGCCAACAAGGCGGTGACAGGGGCTAAATCGGTGTCCGCACATATGCATACATATAGAGATATGTATATATCTATATACATATACATTTGGATATATATATATATATATACATATATATGCATATATATATATATATAGAGAGAGAGATACATAATACATACCTATACACATGAATCACGTGTATATAAGGTCCCCGTCTCTGTAGTGTATAGTTGCCTTGTATGGACGTGTGTGTGTGTGTGTGTGTGTCAGCCCTGTTCATTTGTGTTGCTCTGGGTTGGAGATGTTAGCAGATGTCGCCAGCTGCTGAGCGCGAGTTTATGGAAGCTGAACTGAATGTGCCAAATTCCACAATGACCGCAGTCATGCTTTAGTTGCTTTCTTGTACCATGTCACATGTGCAGCCATGCATACACGCGGTAAGTTGCTTTAATCCATTGGTGTGTGCGTGTGTCCACCTAGGCTTGTGTGCGCAGAAAGCAAAAATAGAACATCCAGAGCAAAGATCTATTGAACCATGCCACGTTTGGCCCGTTTGTGTCTTTGTGCTGGCAGCATCCCAGTACCAGTGAGATATCCCTTGCATCATTGTCCACGTCCTACGCTAGGCGGATCATTTGAAGCAACAGCGACTGGAGCTGCTCGGACAGAGGTAGAAGGGCTTGTTTTTCTTTGGGTGGAAGGGAGGGGGGCTTGGCGGACTGGGCACCAAACATCTCGGGGCCTATTGTTTGCCGATGTTTGCCGAACTTGGAAAGTTCTTGGTAGCTTATCAAAGTGACCCCTCCTTCAAAGGCACCACGACAACACGAAACCATAGGGGTCTGCGCTTTGGACCAAAGCTCCACCCGGAATTTTTCTGCGAACGAACGCAGAAGTTGAGGCGCGGGGCCGGAGAAAGCAGTCACATTGGACTGCTTTGTTTTGTGCCAGGGTTAATATAAACTTGACAGGGGTTTCAGTCATGTCAAGGTTCAAGGAGTTGGTTTCAAATCAAGGTTTTGCCTGAAGCAATGGCCAGACTTTTTACCTGTTCCCAGGCTGGCGGTGAACCAGATGAACCAAACGGAGTCGCAGTCTGAAGCTTCGAGTGCGATACAGAAGGATCAGCAGCAGCTGGCTCTCAGGCGCGGTCGGCTGTGGGTGGGGTGGGTTGGGTGCGTGTCTACCGACTTTGAGGCTACTCTGTTCGGCACAAACAAATCAAGAGGAAGCGATTTTTGAGGTTCCTCCATGGAGAGAAGCCCACATGCAGACTGCCGGGTTCCTGAAGAGTACTGCAACCTCAAGACAGTGTTGTGTTCGACAGGTCCTGTTGAAATCCTTGAGTCTGGAACTCACTGAATGATTAGAACCACAATTGGTTGCGTGTCGGCTGGCACTGGAACGGTCGAGGAATGTATTAGTTGGAAGTCCCACTTGAGGAATAATATTGTTTCTATATGTCTCTATGTAAAGATCAGTTGACATTTTCGTTCTTGATCTCAGTGTTTGTAGGTGTGCGCCATGCAACTCCACATTCGCTCAGCTCACAGATAGATATGCCAGGTGCCATGCGATGATCGATGGCCAGAACTGACGCACGGAACTTTCGAATTTCAAGCTTCGACTGTGGCTTGAAGCTCTCGACACCCTCAAAGGTGCTGAATGTCACCCCAGTCCGAAAAACACGACAACCATTTTCCATTCCCTGACAACTTGGGCCATCAACGAAGCCAAGCCGGCCTCCCCGCCCAAGTGCATGTCATTTGTGCCAGAGATCCCTGTCGATCAGTCGCACCTGCTTTAAAAAAGCTGTGTGTGTGTGTGTCCAAGTAGGGGACCCCCCGAACAAATCGAGATGTTCCTTTTCAGCCTTGCGGAGGCTGAGCGAAACCAACGAGGCGGTCCAGGAAACTGCCACCGAGATGCACTTCTGGGTTCTGCTGCAGGACGAGATCGAGAATAGTGCCCTCCAGATTCGCATGAGCCCAAGTCGAGTGAACCCTGGTAAATGGAAATATGGACTAAAATCTGCGGTCCCCTGGTCGTTTAATTTTGACCCATGCCCATGTAAGTTTGGAGGAAGCATCGCCTGGGGGACGCGACTGGGCTGGCGGTTGGTATTGCCGGCAGGTGCGTGGGGGGTTTTGATGGGTCTCTTGTTGTGTGTCCCTTCACCCAACTCCACTCTGACTTGAGTTGTCCAATGCAGGTTGCCTCAATTTGCAGAAGGGCCGCTCCTGTTGGTTTTGGTTCGTTTCAGGTCCTTGGAGCCTTCGGATTGCTTCAAATAATGCGAGCTCCAAGCGCGCCGTCAAGCAAGCACCCTTTGCTTACTCAGGTGAAATTACCGACGTTCAGCGCCAAACTGAAGGGATTTTGAAACAATCTCGTGTTTGAGATGAGTCTGCCGACACTAGAAGAGCTACGTTTCTTACCAACAAACTAAGGTATCAGTGAAAATCAAGACCTAACGCCAGGCACCCGGATTGTTCTTACCTGATGCAGATTTTCATATTTCAAAACACCGAAATGGCAAGATTGGAAAAGGCTCGACAAGACGGTTGCCACAAGACTCTCAGGTTCCATTCAGGAAAGGAAGCCGCTCCTTTAAGCTGTTCCCATCATTTTGAGCTCCCGAAGTCTGCAACATGCTGTGGGACTGGCCCCAACTTCGTTAATGCCAAGTCAATGTCTTCGACCATGGAACAATATTTGCAGGCGATGAAGTTTGAGCGAGTCACCGCGTTCTTGTGCCACGGCCGTCAGGAGATGGTGTTCCTCGGAATGGCCATCGCCGCATGCTTGTGGAGGCGCTCCTTTGCTCGGACCGGGTCGGGGAAGGGCTTGTCTCTTAAACTAGGAGGACCCCTAGTTTTGGCGGTTTTGGATGGTTTTTTGGGAAACCCAAAAGGAAACCAAGCACCTGGACTTGAGTCCAGGCGACTGTGAGTATTCTCCTTGGGCCCCACGGTCCAACTCCGGCTGTTGGACGAAATTTGATGCATGTCAGATTTCGGCCGAAATTTCAGGCGAACGAGTTCTAGGGAAAAAGGCTTGTGCCACGAAGGTCGTCGCCAACCAAGTCGCCGCTCGAAGAGCCGCTGCTGAACACTGAGTGCTCCTTCTCGGTGGTGACAGCTCATACAAGTGTGCCGCGGCAAGCCTGTGGGGCGCCCCCCTTCGGCCATGCCCCCCAAAGCTTGCTTTGGGATAGTAAAGGTTATTGGAGCGGTGCGTGGTTGTTGGTGGGGTCGATTGGACCTGCCTTTGCTCGTGCGTAAGCGAGCTGGGATTCCTAGTGCGGACTTGCAGCGACGTCTCATGGCACATATCACACATCAAACTACAGTTTGTCACTGGGAAGGGGTTTCATTTTCTTTCACAGTGACTTCCCGGACCAATGTGCTTGTCAACACCAGGCCCCCTAGCCTCCGCTCTTGCAAAATGCAAGAGACTTTCTTGACAAGACAAGGGTTTCTGAGTTTTCCAGGCGACCTTTTCCAGGGCACCTGTACAGGGAAGCCATTTTGGTCCCCCAATGAGACCCGAGGCGGCCTTCTTTTTGCCGGACACGCTGCTGAGCGGCGTGTCCCCCATCTCCGCCAAAGAGCTGTGCCCGCAGATGCGGGTGCGCGGCGTTCGGGGAGGCTGGCTACAGGCGACTCCGGGCGGGAGATCGGGAGATGTGGGCGTTTCGCAAAATCAGAGCCAGGTTGGTTGATTTTCCCCATCCAGAAAGGGGGCTTCGTTTGTTGTGACATGAGTCATGGAACTTGACTGGGACTCTGGTGAGTTCCATGTTACTTAGCAGGATGGTATTGGCATTGGATACAATGCTGGTCATTGTGATGTGGTCCCCAAGCTCAAGTCAGCGCAGACCAACGGTGAATAACAAGTAAACTGACTTGCCGACCCGCCCGTGTAAGTCTTGCCCTTTGGGTTGAGTTCACAGGCAATTCTGATCACCTGGTATCCCTGCACTGAGCCATGGTTACTATGTGAGATGCCGATCCTTGTACATGTTGACATGAATGATGCCTGGCAACCTTGCAGTCGCCTGTGTATGTGAACCCCTCACTTGGCGTTGCATCCTGTAGAGTGGCACCCGGAGAATGCCACAACAGAAACATGTGTCGATCAACACGAGTCTTGGCTGGGTGGTGATTGGCTGGGTGGTTATTTCACCAAGAGAAAGCAATTCCATGCCAAGACATTTAGTCAAAGCTGATGGGCAGGAATGCCTCCACATCTCTCAAGCGGAGGGCGGTTCTAGACCGCTTCTGTTCAAGGAGTGCTTCGCAGGATGGGTATTTTGACAATTCCATCAAGCAGGTTTGACAGTTGGCCTGATATTGAGTTGAGCCACTCGAACGGACCAAGTTGAACAGCCCAAGTGGGGCACTGGCAAGTGCTCGCATTTCACTGTGCCGTTGTAACGACTCCACTATTATTGCTCACATTTGTTTGTTTGTGGCTGCAGGTCGAACGAGTTAATATACGGCAAGCACGCGTTTCGTTTGGTGTGTGAAGGCCAATTGTGGGACAACCCCCCCCCAAAAAAAAGTCGGGAAAGTCCAAAAAACAAAAAGGAACAAACTCGCCGGCAGGTGCAATCTGCCAGCACCTTGCAGCTGTCGAACTGCGAGGTGCTACACCTCACCTTGGCCTTGGACCCGCGAAAGAACATGCCGATGTCCCGGTGGGTAAAACGAGCGAAAGACGTTATGTTGGGTCTCTTACTTGTGGATCCCTTACTTCAGGATTTGCAATGATTTGCAAACACATCAGAAAAGGCGAGCCCGACCTTTTGATTCGTTTTGTATCTCAGGTAAGACGCTGAGTACCACCTGAGGGATGCACCACCCTCTTGGCCTTTGGTTCTTGCGACCTTTGGACCTTCGCAATCCAGGCTTGTGTGGTGCATTTGCACTCGGCCAGTGCGACCATTCCATTGCCCACGGCTGGATGTGAACTCAAAGTGAAATCCCCTGGCCAACTTCCCAGGATCTATTCGTGAGCCATTTCGCGGAGTGTCGTCAACAATCTGACGAGCTCACTTGGAGGCAGAGCAAACCTTAGTTGTGGATACTTTGGTTTAGATATAATCACCAGAAGTCACCCCATGCGGATGTCCGAACCCCTTGGTTTGGGTATATATGCCCTCATGTGCAGACCCCAGTTGAGTCTGTCTCGTGGGGCAACATGAGGACCTGGGCCTGCGCGTGGCCGCGCAGCACCGCATGGTCCGCGTCTCCGGAAGCCGTTGGGAGACCGTGCTGGCCAGCCAGCTGCAGCAGGGGGACGTGGTGTTGGTCCAGGATGGGGAAAATCGCCAAGCACCGGCGATGTTGGCCGGGTGTTTAGCCTTCAACTTGTTGGGGAACTGTGATGAAATATATGTTTTCGCCCACTCGACCTCAAGTGGTTCCTTTGGGGAAATGACACCACATTAATTTCCAAAGCCGCCCCGCGTGTTTCCATATGTTTCCCGGCCGATGATCTAACGCTTCCAATCGTTACAAGTTGAGGTGAAGTTCCTGAATCAAGACGTTCGTTTGCATCCAAGTTTTTCGGATCATGGCCCAGGTTTCCAACCGGAGCGCCGGATGTCCGAGTCAAGCCCACCAAATTTCCAATGGAATCAGTGCTCCAAGTTCCCGAATGGAAGTTTTACGAGCCCGTGCGTGACCCTCAAGAAGGCAATGACGCGAGAGCGAAAGAGAGGAAGAACTAAGTTGCAACCCATGTCTTTTCAAAACCAGGTTAAACGTCCCAACCTAGCGGTGTATACTTGGAGTCTCCACAACCCTTTAAAATGGGTCAATGACCCCAGCATTTTAGGTGACCCCGTTTTGCAAGGGTCAGAAGGAGACTCCATGTACAAATGGGTATGGGTCAAAATTAAACCAACCAAACAAAAACGTAGTTATTTTGTTGTCTCCATTTAGCCGGGGCGACCCATTTTGGGGTTGCCCTACTTTTATGACCCGGAGACTCCAGGTACAAATGACAAACTGACAAACTAACCTGCAACCCATGTCTTTTCAAAACCAGGGTAAACGTCCCAACCCAGTGGTGTATACCTGGAGTCTCGACCCCAACATTTTGGGTGACCCCATGTTGCCAGGGTCAGAAGGAGACTCCTGGTACAAATGGCTGTGGGTCCAAATTATGTACCCTGTGAAGAAACGCGCCGCTTTTCTTGGCTATGGTTGAGAAGGTCTTCGCCCGGTTGGACACGGCCTTCAAGCCAGACCTGATGACAGAGCTGCCGGATGACTTCGAGGCTTTCTTCGTAAAGCTGGAGCGAAGATCTGGCCAGACACTTCAGGAATACCAGACCGAGGAGCGCAGACTCCGGACATCGCATCAGGTGGAGCTGCCGGAGGAGGTCAAGGCCTGGCGGTTCCTGCAGAGGAGTGGCATCAGCACGGAGCAGCGACAGATGGTCATGACACAGATCGGTACTGAGCGCCTCAACTTGACTGCCGTTGAGCGCGCCATGAATTTCATCATGGGACAGGACTCCAGGGACTTTGGCTTCGCCCTTGAGGATCTTGGTGGCACGATCATGCCTAAGACTGAGGGAGGAAATGGCAGCGAGCAGCCCTCTAAGAATGCCTACACAGGCAAAGCGGACTCGCACGTTCCGGTATTCACCAATATCCAGAAGGACTACCGGGAGTACCGCGAGAGGGCAGAGCTCTACAGAAAGAAGATGGAGTTTGCCGGACGCCAGCAAGAAGTTGTCTTCAACCTGGTGACGCTGATGACCGGCAGGGATTGGGATCCTCCCGCGGTGGCCTTGCCAACAAGCAGAAGCAGACCTACGACATGTTCTGGTCCGAGGAAGGCACGTGGCAAGAGCCCTACGTGCCGGACACTACACTTGGAGTGCACTGGCAGGAAGATGAGGGCGATGGATCGTACTACGGCCTTGCCAGCGAGACTGGTGGCCGGTCGGACGGCGTCTACATGACGCAGGAGGACGGTTGCGATGAGGTTTTCGACGTGGAAGAGTATGACGACGTCTACGCGACCTACGTCCGAGGCAAGAATTGCATGAACACGATGAGGACTTCGCAAGGTTTCTACCCGGATGGTCCCGGGTGGTCCTGGAGGCAGCCATTCTGGGAAGTCCGGGAAGGGGCGTGGAAAATCTCCAAAGGGCGGCAGCAAGAAGGGCGGAAAGAACAAGATGCCGCCGCAGAAGGGCAGTGCGAAAAGCAGGACCAAAAACCATCATGGGCCGGAATCTCTGCTTGCGATGTGATCAAGCTGGTCACTACGCTCGCAACTGCCCTAGCAACCCGGACAAGAAGCGGAAGGTGGAGGACAACTCGATGATGGTGGAGGAACACTACGACTTGGCCGCGGAGGATGAGCAAGATGACACCGTCAGCACTGCTGTGCAGGATGGCAGAGCCGCCACTACATCCGGAAGCACATGCTTTATATACTTCCTGGAGAACGGCTACGACGTTGATACGGCAACTCTGAGAAGGAGGTCACCAACCTTTGCGTGCTGTTGCCGATCCACGTTGGTGGGCTCAGGGCTACCCTGCCCCCCGAAGTGCTATGCGAGAAGGGCGCCAAGCGGTACAGCACCAGCAGCTCGCCTCACTGCCAAGGAGTTCAACACAGGCCTGGGTTGACACAGGTGATGGACGCAGATTCGTTGTGACGGTGCTCCAGCGGGTTGCCATCAGGCTGCGCAAGACCGAGCAGTCGACTGACTTCATCAAGGGGCTGGAGCGCTTGTGGGTAAAGCACTGGCCCAACTTTGTCCAAGTTGACAAAGCCAGGGGCAGGCGGATCATCCTTGAGGTCCGCCGGGCATTGGGGCTTAAATGAGGAGGGCGGCCGCACAGAGACAAACCTCGTCAAAAAACAGCCTGAGTATCCAGAAGGGGTGCAGCGCGATGATCAGGGCAACCTCAACGTCCAGATCGTTCTCCAGGCCGACACGGATGCGCTTTTGAGACGTGCAATGAATCAGAAATTGAAGGAGAACCAGGAGGAGGTGACGGCTGGACAGCTGGTTTGGTACTGGCGTGTTTCAAGAGCCAGCCACCTCCTGAAGGCGAACTGGAGGGATCCCACACGCGTCGTGGCAATTGAGCAGGAGAGCGCTGGCATAGGATGTCCTCGCTGCGGTGTTCACCAAAGCAGAAGAGACCGATGGTGGAGGAGAGCGGACATCCACCTCAGGGTGATCCGCAAGCTGCGCTTCAAGATCTACATGCGCTGAAGGCGAGGAGCGCTACGCAGTTCAGGGACACCGGCAAGGAGCCAGAGAGCGAGATTGACGCAGACCTAGAGGACCCGATGGACGACGACTGCGAATCATTGGAGGTTGGTTCCGAGACTGGCAAGCTGGTCAGCGAGATCCATAGTGAGGATGTCTCGATGGGCAAACCGTCTTCATCGCCGACGAGGTCACCATCATCGCCGACGAGCCGCCGGACGCTGCGCCCAACCCCTCACCTTCTACAAGCACTGATCAGGTGGCAGCAGTGCCGGTCCCAGACGAAGTTTTTGGGGAACAACTGGCCGAGACAAGCTCAGCTTCGATGAGGTTTGTTCGCGGGGACCTGCCGACGCGGTGGACGATGGTGGACGGCGGACGGATGCTTGGAGCTGGACGAAGTGTGGCTGACGTGAGAAGAAGCAAAGCGTCTCAGCGAAGTTTCGGAGAGGATGTGGAGCAAAGGCAGCAGTTCGTTGAGGCTAAGATCTATCAAGTCGTAGCTTATTGACCACCTACTGTCCCAGAATGAAGCATATGAGGTCTACCTTTTTCCTAAGCTCTTGAAGGTACCCGGACAAATAGCGGACTGGAAGCACGAGGTGTTGGATAGGAAAAGTCTCTGAACCAGAAGTGGCAGCTGCTGTGTCGGAACGTGCGGCAGCATTTCTCAGCGGCGAGGGCAAGCCACCAGACTGCTCGGCGCTGCTCAGACGCAGTGGTCGCCTCCACATGCGCCTCAACAAGTCGGCGTATGGGCTGGCCGACGCCCCGCTCCTATGGTGGCAAGAGGCTGACCGAAGGCTCCGGGCAATTCCCCTGCGCCGTCACCCGCTCGACACGTGCGCCTACATGTTCTACAACAAGCGCGACGTCTCGAAGGGGCTGGTCACCCTTCACGTCGATGACATGATGATCGGCAGTGACCACGATGACCAGTTTGTGGCCGCTCTGACCACATCAAGAAGAGATTCTAGACACGGCGAACCCCCTTAGTGTCTTGCGGAGGCCGAATCAAGCAGACTGTGAAGGGGGAGACTATGAGGAGTTCTTCAAGAAGGTCCTGCCCTTAGCATCAGCAAAAACAGAAGATGGATGAGCCCCTCAATGCAGGTGAAATCAACAAGGCCCGCGGCTTGATCGGAGCCATGTAGTGGCCTGCTGGCCAAGGAGCAAAGAGGGTCAGAAGTGAACGGCAGATGGCTGACAGGCCTCACCAAGCTGGCGGCACGTCAGGACATGGCAGGCGTGATGAAGTGTGGAATGGTGCAGCTGGTGCACGACTCGGAGTTCACTGCGGCTAAGAAGCACCTGCATCGAGAAGTGCCGGGAGAGCATGAAGGGAGCGGTCATGAAGAAGGGCAACGGCAAAAGCTCCAAGGTGGCAGATGCGATCATGGTGGCAATGGCAGCAGGCAGTGCCACGGGTGCCAAGGCAGAGAGGCCGGGCGAGTTCGACTTGGCAGGCGGCTTTGAGATTGAGAAGATGATGTTGATCGTCATCTTCGTGGTGGCGGCTTTGGCCTTCATGGTGGGCCGCCTCTGGAGCCGCAAGATCGAGCTGGACCTGGCTGACACGGCTGAGACCCTCAACGGCGGCAAGGTCAAGCATGCCGAAGACGTGGCGAAGTTAGCGCGCAAGGATGCAGACCATTGGCAGGAGGCAGTGAGCCGGGCGCAGATAGGCAAAGGCCCAGGAGATTTTTCGTGGCACAGCAGGGCAGTACCAGAGTGCCATCACTTGCAGCACGGTCAGATAGAGCTGCGCCCGTGTGAGTTGTGCGCTGTAGCTCTCTCCCTTCCCCCGATACCCCCGATGTGAAGAAACGCGCCGGTTTTCTTGGCTGTGGCCCGAGTGCGGGACTGCGTGGCTACGCGCATGGAAAACAGGCCGCTCTAGCGGCACGTGGTGATCACTTGGGGGACCCCGTTCGCCCTCGAGTTCTTGTTGTACCGAAAAAGGGTTGCCCTGCCAAATGGAACCAAGCACTAAAACCTGCAATCCCCTGGTTGCCCTATTTTTGACCCGTTCCCAACCGAGTGACGTATGCTTGGATTCTCGAGCCCATTTTGGTGACCCTATTTTGCCAGGCTCAGAAGGAGACTCCAGGTACAAATGGCAGTGGGTCAAAATTATGTACCCAAAACGCGTTGCTCTGCCAAATGGAGCCAAGCACTAAAACCTGCGGCCCCCTGGTTGCCCTATCTTTGACCCATACCCAAATCTTTTCCCTTTTCGCAGCATTCAATTTTTCGCAGGACGCAGAGGTGGAGCTCTTGGAGATCCGCCGGGAAATCCTGGAGACCGCGGAGGTGCAAGAGCTGCGCTTCGATCGCTCCGAGGCGGTGTGCACGTTGGCGGACGACCCGGCGGAGTTTCAGGTGGTCTGACGCGTGTCCTTTCGAGCCGGAGAAAAAAACACGGAGAAACGCAAAGAAAACCATAACGGTGTCACGCAAATTGGTCCAAGGAAGCTACCAAAATCATACCTGTTGGTATGTGTGAGTCCTGTTGGTTTGGGGTTGGTAGTTTGAAACCTCCTGCAAAAGGAGGATTAGTTTCTTGGGTGTTTTGGTTTAACTTTCACAAAACAAAACGGAGGCACTCTTCAGCATGCGACTGAGTTGTTCAATCTCAATCCTTGACCCTGTGTTTTTTTGGTTATAGTTATTGTAAAACAACACCAAGCAGGGAACCTTCTTAATGCGTCCAAATGGTGGCCCAAAAGTACTTCATGGTGAGTCATGGTGCTGTGAAGGTGTCCTTGTTTGGTTGTTTGGCTGATCGTAAAATGGTTTTCACTAGTCGCAACCACTACCAATACTGGGGACGGGGATTTTCACGCTTTTTGACGGGGTTGGACACAATTGCCTTGAGCAACCAACCCCTCCCGGAAAAATGGGTAAACCAAAAGGAGGGGGTTTGAGCCATGTTTCAAGAGAGCGGTCCAAGCCTGTATGTGACATGTCATTGGTTTCAGCTAAATTTAACATGAGTTCCAATGGTTCAGTGTTTCTTCTGCATTTTTCAGTGCTGCACATCGCTTCAAAAGGACACTTAGGAGTTGTGGCCGCCGCAAGACGCTAGTTACGCGCGACCGCTGGCAGCCAGAAGGTGTGGTGTTTGTGTTTCGTGCCGGAAACCACCACACAGCCCATTGATCAACCGCTGGCAACTAGAAGATCGAAGTATTTGTTGCGGATGGTTTGAAGTTGTGTCAGGCGGGCTCGTGGACCGCATGGTTTGGTTGGATTTGTCCTGACCATCAATTTCCAGGGTCTTTGGAGCAACTCTTACACTGAGAGTCAAGCGTTCGTTCAATTTCTAGACGAGGCCTTGCTACGTTTCCTTACATTCGGTATGGATCCCTTCAGTGCGCTGGACGTGCGCTTGTAAGACTTGGGCTGATGGTTGTGACCTAGCTTGGTTGAGGTTATTCTTGGGTCCTGTCAGGTGGCTTGAATCCTTCGATAGTCACCCTTGTGACGAATGAATGCGCAAGTTATCGCAAGAGCCTTGGCACACTACCTTGGGGCTTTGGTAGGGCCACGAGAGCCTGCAAGGTACTTTGCTCGGGCATGTGGGGACATTTTAGTGGCGAGTTGGAACAAACTGTTATCCGCACTTATCCGCTGCCAGTGGCATTCGTGGAGCTTCCTAGCTTCATGGTTTCGGGTACAGGCACTGGACCAGCAACCAGGAATCGGGCAACACCATACGGATTTGGATATCATGTTTTGAGTTGTGAGTGTGCACGTAGTGCTTTGGGGTTCTAGTTCAAGCAGAAGTTGGGCCATCCGGGTTCCGGTTCGATCCTGGGCACGTTGTCTGGTGCACCCATGCCTCACTATGGCTAAGCCGCGGCATGAGCAGCTTGGTTTCAGAGTGCCCCGTGCGGTTCGCTCATTCGGCTTAAACCTGCCTGGCCGGACACAAAAACACCCTGAAACACCTAAAGGCCCACAGAGCAGGAAAGGTTCATAGAACCTTCTTGGAAGAGAGTGCAAGCCTGGGGTTCCACGTTGCAAGCGATTGAGCGATCTGCGGACTTGAAGGCGGACTAGTGCTTCCAGGGGCACCGAAGAGTTTCGCAATTCGGCTGGAGGCAGGAATCTTCCATAGAATTCGCACTGTACATAGCCCGACAGGTATTAGATGCAGCAGTCGATTGAAAACAAGTTGTGTCCATGGGACAGAGGTGATGTTGTTTGCCCATTGCGTCATTTGCCTGGCACCCGCCGACAAGAGGCGGGTGTTAGCATGGACACCATGCGTTCTCGAAAAAGCTGCTGGTCAAGAGTCTCCAGCCAAGAGGTTTCCGTGTGATTGCTCCGCCCAGTTGCCCAGTGGGTTGCTTCCTTTCTTCCTTGTTTTTGGGAAGGAATCCCTTGAAACTCAACCAACCAACACAAGGATGCCCTTCTTTCCCCTGTGCATCTGCGTCCGGGGCTAGAGCTCTGGTCGGCTCCTCGCCTTTGACAGTCACTCGGAACCTCCCCCGTGCAGAAGAGCAAACGATCGCGCGCCGCTGAGTGTTAGCCAGCGCCGCGTTTGAAGGCCTGGGCAGCTGGCATCTAGAGAGAGGTGATCCGAGAAGCGCAATGTGAGCGGCAAGTAGGAGCAACGCCTGAATGATGGTGTTCTTTTTGGGGGGATTCACCTAAATCCAGGGCAAGGTGAATTGCACCGTGTTGTGCAAGCTTGTGTTCACGTGCGGCAGGTAGAGATGGCCAATGTCTGCTTGGACCGTAATGGGTTCGGGGCAGTTGCCAGATCTACGGCCATCTTGCCAAGTGAAGGCAAGCGGGAAGAGCCTGTCCCTTGTTTTTACCCTGGTGAGTTGCCAGAAACACCTAATTTTTAGGGCACATTCCTGGCTTCAGCGTTTCGGGCAGAGTGAGCATGGGAGAGCGGACACAGGGAGTTTTTTTTTGGTGCGCTTTTCTGGTTAGTGTAAGTCTAAGTGAAGCCCAAGGGAAATCCGCAATTTGTCGGGCCCCCCTAGGTTGAAAACCCGTATTGAAGAAAAATGCTCGGATCATCACGGCAGCTATGGAGCGCCAGATTCTTTAGCGCCAACCGCCCTGTGGCGCTGTGCAGACGCGCCCTGCGCCTTGAGAAGGCTTGAGGCGCGAGGAAAGAAGCTCGCAAGAAAGCTGCCAGTCTTGCTGATAGGCAGGGAATGAATGACCCCACAAAAAACCATCCCCTATGGTGTGCTTCAAGGGAATCCCAAGCGGTTCATTCCCCACCAGCTGCCAGTTGCGGCCTTTGAGTACGTCCCAGACATTTGTTCAGGGGCTCCCTGGGGCAGCTCTTGCGAATCGATCGAAAGCAATCTGATGGACTTGTGTTGCTGAGCAAACTGATTGATTGGCCATTGGCGAGACGCCTATATATGGGACCGCTCAAACGCTCAAATTGTGTGCCCTGTCACGTGGCTTCCAGCGGGGCATGTTTTGGGATTCCTGCGAACTGCCATTGCGAGCTGACTGTCTCGTCACAGCAAATGCAGTTTAATGCACCACATCTATTTGTTGTCTTTGATCCTCCAAAGTCAACGACAAGTAAGTTGTTGTTGTTTTTGTGCGATGCTTTCTTTCTGGGTGATCCTTGAAGTAGAGGCTTCCGATGACTTCAGTTTCCAGTGCTGGCTGTTCAGCACCGAGGTTGATCCATTCTGGACAGCTGGACCTCACTGACTTCATGGAGGTGAGCGGCAGGCGGGTCTTGTCGCACCCTGCGGCATTTGTATCCCGTGTCCGGATCGTCCAGGTACTGGAGAAAAAGATCCGGCTCCATCACTCGACACTTCTTGAGCAACACAAAGCGAAACAGCACCAAGGTTCGTCCCTTGTGACTCGGTCTTTGTAGCACCCCTGAGTCTTAGCTCAGGGCAGGAAGCTTGGAGACTACAACCACACGCATGTGAAACACAATGGGTTCGGCCTATGGAATCTCAAGAGAGCCTCCGTGAGTTTGTGGAGTGCATTGTTCAAGCAGGGTTCTGGTATGCCCCATCCTTAAAGTTGGACTCCCCAAAACGGTGGTTTCCTTTTGTTTTGTTTTTGACCAATACCTTCCCACCAATTAACATGGAACCTCGCCTTCGGGGGTCCCTTTAAGAAGATTGTCTTCCTGGAGCCCCCGAACGTCAGGTGTGGGTCAAAATTAAACCACCAGGGGACCGCAGGTTGTCCAAGTTTCCATTTACCAGGGTCCATGTTGGCTACATATTTTTGACCAGCCATGTTTTAAAGGGTGGGAGGGTACCCTGTAAAAATTCAGACACCCACGTCTCCGTCGAACCCACCGAAACCAAACCCCCGTGAGGCAAAACCCGGCCTCCGTGAGCTCCATCCCACGGCCGCCTGGCAAGTGCCAAATGTCTTTCCGCCACCTTTGTGAGAAAATGGGCGACCCCCTCAAAAAGGAATCCTTGTCTATCAGGGGGTCGATCAATTTTCCACAAGAGGCGGCAACAAGACCCTTTTTGGTTACGCAGGTGTTGGTCCATGTTTCCACTTACCAGGGTTCCATTTTGGTACATCTTTTTTTGAGCCACAACAATATAGAAAGCCCAAATAGAATGAGATGATACATAGAGAAAAACACAAGATGAACCGATTGTGACTTCTTGAAGAGCTGGGGTACCGCCTCAAAAGTGATTGGTGGACGAGAATATGCACCTAAATGATGTCCAAACGGTCCCTTAAAATTTCATACCCGGTTCCTGCCAGCCAGGGTTTCCTCCAGCCAGGGTTTGTTCCTCCGTTGGAACCTCCAAAAGTTTCTTAGTAGGAACCACCAGTAAATTGATCAGCGTTTGAGTTCCTGGGCTTTGGGTTTCATTTTGGGGGTTGGACCAGTTTGGCGGTAGAAAACAACAAATCGACATTGTGTTTGCCAATCCACTCAGGAAGTGAGCAACGCGCTCGATCGCCGGTTCCCTTTAGGCCCCCTGGAGAGAAGGTGGTGAGATCAATCACGCCACAGACAGATGGTCACGGCACGCCCTCCTCCCTGCAAATCGACGAAAGGCCGTTGTGGGCAAGGGTACCGGTGGCAATGCCTTACGTGCAACGTGCTTCATTGAAGCGACATTGAGAAAGTTGCCCTCTAAGTATGGTTTCAAGCGAAACCACCCCCATCAAAGCGTTATTTAAAGAGCCTCAAATGTTCGCTTGCACCTCAGTTGGCCAGAGGCACAGACTTTGCAGAAGGGCCTTCCTTCCGAAACTGCTTTCCGCCACCTGCAGGCTTATATTGAGCCACCAAAGGATAGGCACAGCGCTCGAATGGCCGCAATTCGTTTTCGCATGTTTTCGCTCGAATTCGAGCTGTGCTTTTCGCAGGCTTTACCTGCAGAAGTTGCGCTGGTAAACCTCAA